TTTAAACCATAATCTAAACCTTAGAACCGGTTAACATAACATGAATCCGCATACGAAACCAATTTTCACATACGGAAACCCATCCGAATCAATCGTGTGAATATTTTTCACATGACATAATTGTATCCGTATACGAAAAAGTGTTTAGAATACGGTTTTTTGGGATCATGTGAAAACTCATGTGAAAACCACGATTTTCGTATACGGATCTTTTTCGTATGAGTTTCTGAATAGCCTCCCTGGTCCCATTACAAATGTATATTAATAATGTTAAATAAAACCACGTAATATGGACACTCCATTCGGATTATTTGGGCAATTTTATTATATCATAGCATTAGAATATACACATAATTATTAAAAAAAAACTACAAATTTAAATATTTGTGTAAATAATCTCGTATTTATGAGATTATGTTTATCGAAAGTATTAAAAATCATAACCATTCAAGCCTTAATGRGATTTTGATGTGTGTAAATGTTCTTAAAAAAAGTTGGAAGATGAAGAAGAAGATACTGAACCACCAATTACAGCTAGAGAGGCTAAAAGTGCATTGATTTGTTGCAGAGGTTCTTCATGCAAGAGGATAACGAAAATAGTCCATCTGATAAGCCAAAAGTGTGTTAAACTTTTTAACGAAACCTTGAGTGTTTTTTAGTAGGTATTGGTCTAGTTGGCTCCCGCCAGGAAGGCTATTCTACCCACACTCAAGTTTAGTTGCCTCTTCGTTAAGTCTCTCGTATTTTTGATATAAAATTAAAAATATACTGATAATCATGTTTATTCTGGGTAAAAATAAAAGTTTATTAGTGTAAATATCATATTATAATTCCAAGAATTTACTTTAAATAACAAAACTATTTTGGGCGTTGTTTTAAAATAAATTAAAATTAAAAACCAAAATAWGTTCAAAAAAATAAAAAAATATGATACAGTTGATCGACCAGAAATAATAAAACTTTATACGTAATATAAAAGTATGGATGGTGTGAATAAAATTGATCAAATAATAGTCTACAACTGAAAAAATGKACATTACGTATGGTTTTCCACGCCATTGAGACATGGCAATCTGCAATTCGTGGTTGGAGTATTTAAAAGATTGTAAATTGATAGGGATCGAAAAGAAAAAAGAAATGAATATTACATTTAAAAATGAAACATGCAGACAATCGATAATTTGGGGAGATCAGATAATATRAAACGACCTCGTGGACGACGACCAACAAGCGCTTCAACTACATCGCCTTCATCTCCATCAAAAAAGAAAACGACAAAAGAATCAAAGCAGTATCAAAAATCCCGGTATGATAATGTAAGACACTTGCCAATTTCTGGCGAAAAACAAAGGTGCAAAATGAAAAATTGTAATAGCAAAACGCATGTTATGTACAAAAAATGTAATATTCATTTATGTTTCGTTGTCAACWCTAAAAATTGTTTTGCTACCTACATTCCACAAAAAACAGTAATTATAGTTTTGTTAGACTTCAATAAACAAATAATAAATATGAATTTTTATTATACTTACTACCAGTGTATCTTGCAAGGCACAACCTTATAAGTTTTTACCAAATTCCAAATTATCCTATCCTCACAAAACTTGGTATTCAGTATCTATTAAATGTAATAATCGTAAAAAATTGTTTTTTTTTTTTTGTAAAAACTTAATGTGGTAGTGAAAGGGTTAGTATATATAGTAAATATAGTAAATTGTCAATTTAAAAAAAAATGTGATAGTTGGGTTTTTTCATTACAAACAGTGAAAATATTATTTAATTTAAACCCCTTCACAAAAAATTGTTCCTGCTATAACCTCGTATGTAAGTTCATAAAACTTATTTTAAGTAGAATGGCCAGGTTAATAAAATTAAAATAGAAGGTTAGGTTACTAGGTATCTACATTTAATATAGAGTGTCTGGCCTTCTAATTATATTAAAGTTTATGTTAGTATTATGTGTATAAGCTTATAAGTTGTATTTGTTTATTTAAATATTAACTTAGATATTTCTGAATTAAAGTAACCATTATGTAAGCACTAAATATCTATGATAATACATATATAATATATATATATATATATATATATATATATATTTATGTGTTTATACTAATTGAGCGTATTACTGTATTAATAAAAGTATAATTAATTATAATAATTATAAATTTTTTAATATTAACTACCTATCTACTTATTACTTATGTACACAACGGGGTACACAAAAATAAATTTCCATCCGTTGCAAATATTTTAATTTTTTTGTATTATATGATTATTTAGGTATTTTTGAACAACAAATACAATAATTTAACAACATAAGTTTGTAGGTATCATATCTTTTTATTAACATGGTATACAGTATAATTAACATTGCTTAGTGGATTATTTTGGTTTTAAAATGTTTACATAATTTATTTTAAAACAAACTGTAAGTAAAGTAAATTTATTTAAAAATTGATTAATGCATTTTTTACATATATTTTAAATTTTGTAGAAGAGCTAATTAAATTTTCTCAATTCCCAATCAAAATTTTCATTACATTAAAATATAATAAATTAGTGAATTATTTATAGGTAACCTAAATATGCTCAATGTGTTTTTTTATTATTTTGATTTGACATTTCTTAGTACTATAAACTATATAATCTATATTAATCAAGATGCTTTGACTTAGAAAAATCTACTTTCTTATTTGAGAATAAACAATGTTTTTATTTTCTATGATAGCTATTTGTACCAATATTATGATCATCTATAAATTGTATTAATAAATAACCTATCAACACTTACAAATAWATTGAGGATTATATCATTACTTAATAAAGTTATAAAAATAATTTATTTTGCATCATTTTATAAAACCATTACAAGGAAGCTGCAAAAAAAGAGTTATTCATTTCTGCTTCAACCTCTGAGCCAGACTGCTTCTCAAACAATATCTCAGAGAATAGAGATATCAAAATCAGCAAGAAAAAGAACTTATATTATTTAAATGAAAGCAATGATAGCAGTAAGAGTTCACTTCTAAATAAATTATTATTTTAAGTGCCTATCTATTTTGTAGATGATATTATTAATTTGAATGTTTAATGATGGTTATATAATAATTATTGATAAAGTTGACTATTTTCTTTTAACAGGCAGCAGGTACCTACTCAAGTAACACCGATTAAAATATATAAATCTTATATATGTTGGAGTTGAAGGCAATACTACAGCATATATACCGCAGATACATTATTAACAAATTATTCCTCAGCAGATGCTGAAATGTTTCAATCCATAACATGTATACATATATTATCTAAATTATAAATATTACATCATCGGTGCACAAGAAAAGTGACACAACTCAAAAATTGGCATTTTCRAGATTATCATGGAAATGCATTGCAAAATACACATATTTTTATGTACAAGAACGACATTTTGTATGTCTCCGAAAATCGCCACAAGATAGGTGAAGTGTCGTTATTCCCTTATCGCATAATCACATAATCGAAATTTTTAATTCGCTCTACTGTTAAATCTACTTTTTGAGTTGTGTCAATATTCTTGTGCTGAAGTTAGCAAATTATTTTTATTTTTAACTGCTTTGAATGATGTATAAGATGGTACTAGCATACCAGTAGAACTGTGAAACCAACACAGGAGTTGCTTACTATAGGTATGTAGGTATCTATATTTAAAATTATAATCTAGTAAAAGCAAATTGTATTTAATTATAATAAAATATTATACCTATGCTATATTTTCAACTAATCAAGTATCAAAGGACAACAACAAAAAATCTATTACTGCAGATCAAAATGATTAAATCAAACAAAAATATTATATTAATAATTCAAAACAATACTGATACTACTAACCCCGATACWGTGAAATATAAAAAAAAGCTGCATTAGTCATATCAAAAATATTGACCCTAAAACACGAATAAATAACATAATAATAATAATAAAGTTAACATAAATAATTTGACAATGAATAGGTAAGTACACTTCATTTTACATTAATGTTCTACCCAAAGTGACAACGCCTGGTTAGATGTATTGTTAAACCATGATTATAATATATTGTTATTAACGCCAAAACATGTCTAAGCTTATTTCATAATATCATGATAAAATATAATATTTTGTACCRAGGAGTTATTGTCRCAATAATAAAATGGTAATTAATAATTAATTGCTGGAATATAATTTTAGAATTTATGATAACATACAATAGAATGCATAAATGTGTATGTGTGTGTGTGTGTATAATTTTACTGGCACGCAAATTTTTCTTAAAGCTTTTATATCAGTAAGTAGGTATGAATAGAAAGTATTAACATTTTCTGTCGAATTAAATTGTTTAAAAGTATTTTCTTACCTTTGCTCGGGTTTCTAAATCCTCCATCTTAATTGGTTTTAAAATGATTATAGCGAGATAACACGTAAAACGTTGACAGTAGTTTAGACGTTTTTATTGAATGTGGAGAAAGAGAGCGCAATATCTGAACACTATTCACGCTGAGATGGTTTAAAGAGTTGTCTTAGCAATCATCAGTCAAGGTATAAAAAAAAATAGATTGGAGAGATCACTCCTTGCAGAAAGTTTGTAGATGTAATAGCGCTCCCGGTGGTYGTTTAACATAATTAATACACTAGAATTATTTAAAACCGCCTTGTACACCATTTTATTTGTTTTTTGCATTTTAAACACATTTCTGTTATCATGTTAGTTGATAAGT